TCAAAAGTCAACATCCTTTTCAACCACATATTCATTCTTTCATTCATTCATACCCATATGTTATACCAAGAATGTAACAGGCACTGGACATAGAAACAAAGTCATGACCTCATAGGGCAGAGAAACAGATAAAATGTTATTTTTTCTGCACTACAAGGGCCTGTAAAATTTCTACCCATCTTTAAAGTCTAGCTCAAGTGCTACCTCTTCAGTGGTCTGTTTGCTTCAGTAAGAATTAGCGTTTCTCTCATGTTTCTGGGCACATTGGGAACCTCCCAGCAGCCCCACCCCCTTTTTTTTTTACCGGATAAAATATTTTATTTTTCTATAGAAAGTTTTTAATTTTTATTAATAGATAATGTATTATTTGTTTCAGGGACACAAGTCTGTGATTCATCAGTCTTACACAATTCACAGCACTCACCATAGCACATACCCTCCCCAATGTCCATCACCCAGCCACTCCATCCCTCCTGTCCCCCCCCACTCCAGCAACCCTCAGCTTGTTTCCTAAGATTAAAAGTCTCTCATGGTTTGTCCCCCTCTCTGGTTTTGTCTTGTTTCATTTTTTTCCTCTCTTTCCTTATGATCCTCTGCCTTGTTTATCAAATTTCACATATGAATGAGATTGTATGATACTGTCTTTCTGATTGACTTATTTCATTTAGCATAATATCTTCTAGTTCCATCCACATCTTTGCAAATGACAAGATTTTGTTTTTGATGGCTGCATAATATTTCTCTCTCTGTGTGTGTGAGTGTGTGTGTGTGTGTGTGTGTACATATATATACACATCTTCTTTATCCATTCATCTGTTGATGGACATCTAGGCTCTTTCCAAAGTTTGGCTATTGTGGACATTGCTGCTGTAAACATTAGGGTACACATGCCCCTTCAGATCAATAAATTTGTATCTTTGGGGTAAATACCAGTAGTGTAATTGCTGGGTTGTAGCTCCATTTTCAACTTTTTTCATACTGCTTTCCAGAGTGACCCAGCAGCCCTTATTAAGTTATAATGATATGTATCTCTCATTGCATCTGTATCTCCTACAGCACAAAGCATAGCGTCTGTGGTAGGAGCAGAGTACATGTTTATGATACTGAACTTAATGACAAAGACCTTACCTTTTGCAAGTGGAAAAGATGCTCTCAAAAAAAAAAAAAAAAAAAGATATTCTCACCACTATTGGTGAAAGTATAAATTGATGGAATCTCTGTAGTAGGAAATTATATATCTTTCAAAAATATAAATGCACATACTCTTAGACTTAGCAGTTATAACTCTCGGAACCTATTCTACAAAAGTGTTCATGGATGTGTAAAATACAAAAGTACTCATTGGAGCATTGTTTGTAACTGCTTTAAAAGTTGATTTTAAAAAATAGGGCACCTTGTGACTCAGTCATTGAGCATCTGATTCTTTGTTTCAACTCGGGTCATGATGTCAGGGTGGTAAGATCAAGAGCCCTGGGTAGGACTCTGATCTCAACAGGGAGTCTGCTTGAGATTCTCTTTCCAACTCTCCCTTCCTCTTTGCCCCTCCCCCTGCTCATGTTTGAACTCTTTTTCTCTCTCTCTCTCTCTCTAAAATAAATAAATAAATCTTTGAAAAAAAGAGTTGATAAAAACAGACTATTCATCAACAGAGAACTAATTGATTAAAGGGATAATATGGACCAATTTTAAAAATATTATGTGGGGGTGCCTGGGTGGCTCAGTGGGTTAGGCCTCTGCCTTCAGCTCAGGTCATGATCCCGGGGTCCTGGGATCGAGCCCCGCATCAGACTCTCTGCTCGGCAGGGAGCCTTTTTCCCCCACTCCCACCACCTGCTGCTCTGCCTACTTATGATCTCTGTCAAATTAATAAATAAAATCTTAAAAAAAAATGATGTGGACTACTATGTCCAGATATGAAAAGGTAAATAGAAAAAGCACAAGACAATATATGTAATGTAATTGCATTTATATTTATGAAAGAGTTTCCTCCAGGGAGTAACAATAGGATAGCTAGGTATTCTGGAAATTTCAGTTTTCATTTCATTTTAGTCGTTCTATATTTAAAGTTTTTTTTTAACATGAGAATGAATTATTTTATGTATATATGTGTATATATAGATATATAAAATGTGTATATATGCACACTTATGATAATACTATCTTTTGTATGCTCACTATTTGTGCTTTCTGAATACCTTCATTATTCCACGTTTCCAAATACTAGATTAAAATAAAAAAACAGAATTTGGGGCTCCTGGGTGGCTCAGTCTTAACCGTCTGCCTTTGGCTCAGGGCATGATCCCAGGGTCCTGGGATTGAGTCCCACATCAGAATCCCTGCATGGTGGGGAGTGTGCTTCTTCCACTCTCACTGTCCCTGCTTATGTTCCCTCTCTCGCTGTATCTCTCTTTGTCAAATAAATAAATTAAATATTTCTTTAAAAAACAGAATATAATTAATAGAACTATATGCACCAACATGGAAATATGTTCTGACATATTGTTAAGCAAAAAAGCAGATCATAAAATCACATGTAAATTATAATCCCATTTTTGTTTGAAACTACCTTTTATGTATATGTATATGTGTTCTACTTAGAACAAATTTACAAAGAATGAATGTGAAGCTATTAAAAATAGTTACTTCTAGGCAGTGGAATTGGAAATAAAAACTTTCATTCTTTTACCCTTTAACTTTTGTATTATTTCAATTAATCTTCTTTATATGTACTACCTCTATCATTAAATAACAATGGACATCAATCAATCAGTCAATCAATCACTCTCTTGGCATTTTTCTTGGGTCTTTCTGTCTTAAAAAAATTTTAAGGTGATGTCTCTGCAAACAAGAGGAGGAGCAGATATTGTTTGAACAGTAAGTTGATTAATATGGACTGAAGCCTTTACCTCAGGCAACGGTCTTCAAATACATTTGACCCAAGTGAATTTTATTTCATATGCATACATGTAAAAGAACAATGTGAGTGAGAATTTTTAAGATGTATACTTTAAGCTTGAATCATTGCTTCAATCTTCTGTATGCCTTCTTGATGAAACAATCTAGTTGATTGACTATTCTGTCCATCCCCAATACCCAAAACATTCTCCCACCCACCTGCCTCTCATTTATCTCCACTTGAACATTCTAAATAGCATGTCAACTTCTCCTGTCTATAGAGATCTTTAAGGACCTGCCCAGGGATGCCTGGATGGCTCAACCGGTTAAGCATCCTACTCTCAGTTTCTTCTCAGGTCAAGATCTCAGAGTCATGAGTTCAAAACCCCTGTTGGGCTCTGTGCTGAGCATGGCATCTGCTTGATATCCTCTCTCTCCCTTTGCCCCTCCCCCTGCCCAAGCTTGTGCTTTCTCTCAAATAAAATGAAATTTTTTTTAAAAAGTCTTTAACAGTACAGACAAAGGGCTGATATCCAAGGTCTATAAAGAACTCCTCAAACTCAATGCACACAAAACAGATAATCATGTCAAAAAATGGGCAGAAGTCATGAACAGATACTTCTCCCATGAAGACATACAAATGGCTAACAGACACATGAAAAAATTATTATCATCACTTGCTATCAGGGAGATTCAAATCAAAACCACATTGAGATACCACCTTACACCAGTTAGAATGGCCAAAATTAGCAAGACAGTAAACGACATGTTTTGGAGAGGATATGGAGAAAGGGGAACCCTCTTACAGTGTTGGTGAGAATGCAAGTTGGTGCAGCCACTTTGGAAAACAGTGTGGAGATTCCTTAAGAAATTAAAAATAGAGCTACCCTATGACCTTGCAATTGCACTACTGGGTATTTACCCCCAAAGATACAGATGTAGTGAAAAGAAGGGCCATCTGTACCCCAATGTTCATAGCAGCAATGGTCACAATTGCCAAACTGTGGAAAGAACCAAGGTGCCCTTCAATGGACAAATGGATAAAGAAGATGTGGTCCATATATACTATGGAGTATTATGCTTCCATCAGAAAGGATGAATATCCAGCTTTTGTATCAACATGGATGGGACTGGAAGAGATTATGCTGAGTGAAATCAGTCAAGCAGAGAAAGTCAATTATCATATGGTTTTGCTTATTTGTGGATCATAAGGAATAACATGGAGGACATAGGGAGATGGAGAGGAGAAGGGAGTTGGGGGAAATTAGAGGAGGAGACGAACCATGAGAGACTGGACTCTGAGGAACTAACTGAGGGTTTGGGAGGAGAGGGTGGGTGGGCCGTTGGGTAAGCCTGGTGGTGGGTATTAAGGAGGGCACATATTGCATGGAGCACTGAGTGTGGTGCATACACAATGAATTCTGGAACACTGAAAAGAAATTTAAAAAATAAATAATTTTTTTTTTAAAAGTACCCAGATCTTACTTCTACCTTAAGACTTTCTTAGATTGTCCCAGGCTAAACGGAGCCATCCTGTTATGTTGTACTATTTTACTTCTACTGGCACTTCTGCCATCATAGTCTGGGTTGTATTGAAGGGGGATTTTGGGTGTGTATAGGTGCTTACTCCTACTAGATCGTGGACCTCTCAATATTAGAACATAGTTTAATTAATCCGATTTTGGAATGGCATGTTTCTTTACACATAATAAGCATTCAGGAGATGCTATTTGAGATTCTTATATCAGGATTGTGCCGGTCATGCCTTCCAGCCACTCAGGACCCCCACCCTCACATAGCATAGGGTCATGTGTATGTGTTTCTAAAACACAAGCAAAAATCTACCAAGTGAGAAGCTTATGTGCAGAAATACTCTCTCTTTAGCCGTATTCTGTGTTCTGCAGAAAACAATTATGCCCTCCCACTTCTGCTTTTTTTTTTTACTTTTCTTATCTGAAACACTGAGGAGTGACTCACTTCAAAACTCATCCTGTGAAGTCAGATAGTAGTCAAAAGTGTGGAGTTTTCCTCTATCACCAGAATCGAAGAGAGGGAAGAGGAAGTGCTCAGCAGATTTCCTAAACATACTTCATAGCTTGATTGTGGGTAAGTGTGAGACCCACACGGGATTTGTGGCGACCTCCAGACCTGTGCTGAGGCCGTCAGCTACTGTCTCAGGGTTTTGGTAAGAAAACCTACATTCACCAGACAACTTGTGCTGCTTCTGCTTATTATTGATAATGATTTGAGGGTCATTATCTCCTCTTCCCCCATTCTTTCCCCAACTTTTCTTTCTTTGGTTTTATCTCCATATCCACCTTTCTTTTACTAAATATCCCATGTTCTAAATTATCTTCATTCTTCGTATTTCCATTCTAGAACAAATAGTGAATTTTATGCCATTTTTTCCTCTTAAATCGGCTGTGTGTCTCTTTCTGAATTTTGAGACCAGCTTTTCACAATAGCTAATTCTTCAAGTCAGTTGCCTTTTTATATATATTTTTTTCTCACTCCTATTTCCTCTTTTTTTTTTTATTCTTTTGCTTATTCTTTTTTTTTTTTAGATTTTATTTATTTATTTGACAGACAGAGATCACAAGTAGGCAGAGAGGCAGGCGGGGGGGTAGGGGGGAAGCAGGCTCCCTGCTGAGCAGAGAGCCTGATGCGGGGCTTGATCCCAGGACCCTGAGATCATGACCTGAGCCAAAAGCAAAGGCTTAGCCCACTGAGCCACCCAGGCGCCCCTACTTATTCTTTATTGTTACCAACTCTGTCTCCCTATCATTAGTATTTGATTCTGGAATCTACTTTCTTGTCCTGTTATAACTGAATTTTAGTTTCAGGAATGTCTTTATCCTTTTAACTACTTTTGGCCAATGTAGTATTGAAAACTAAAAAAGAAAGAAAGAAGGAAAGAGAAAGAAAGGGTTCTACCAGTGGCAAATGTAGAGGTATCTTTCAGCCAAAACACTTGGAGAAATGTAAAAAGTGATCTTGTTCATTCTGAAAGATTTTTAAGACTGATTTATACATACTTTCAAGGCAGATGATATATGATATTTAAAATATAGTTCATACCTATGGCTCTATTTATATTAGAATCTTGCTCTTTTTTAATCTTTTTTTGAAATATTTATTTATTTATTTTAGGGGGGAGAGAGAGCACAAGGGGGAGTGGGCAGGGGCACAGGGAGAGAATCTCCAGCAGACCCTGCCCAATGCGGGGCTTGATCCCATGACCCTAAGATCATGATCTGAGCCAAAATCAAGAGTCAGTTGCTTAACAGAATGACCCACCCAGATGACTTTCTTTTCAGTCTTTATTACTTCAGTTTGCGCAGCTCTCGGTAACTTTCCCATGTTATTGTTAATAATAACAATACTGAAGCCTTTTTAGTTCTGTGGTTCTTTGTAGTAGAAAGATTATTGGACTTAAGATCTTATAACCCTCCTAGTTGTGAATATGTGACAGTCCCCTAATTTGCTGAGTTTCTGTGTCAAAAACTGCAAAATAAAACTAGAGACAAGGAAAAATAATTGCTATGTTTCTTTTCAGTCCTAGCTTCTCTGATTCTATCCTTCTCTCAATACTTCACAGATGTTGGCATGACTATGTATACTGGAGCAGGACAGTGGACCAGGGTAGCTGCTGTGCCCAGCAAGGAAAGAAGGGGTCCTGATAAGACTTGAGTATTTGAGTGCATAAGGCTACAGAGAGGGAGAATGAGAATCACTTCTTCTTTTCTATTATTTTGTTGACTCAGTTATTTTAACTTCTGCTAATCATGTAAGACCCTATGACAGCATTTGGTTAGCTCAACAGAATTCCAAGTCATGAAAATATTTTGGGACTCTATGAAAGGAATCATAAAATGCTATTATAGCCAGTAAGAACTGGAAACTGGAAACCAAAAGGGAAGTTAGAAGAGACAGCGTATTTAATGGATTAAGTGGACAATAATAAAAAATTTAAATTTAGTTGAAAAAGAAAATAACGTAAACCCCAAACATGAACATCCATGCACTGAAGTCATCTTTGATCTTTATGTCATAGAATCCATTGTGCTAACTTCGGTAGAACAAGCACTTAGGTAGAAGACTCATTTTTACCATTATGAAATTTAAGGCCAGAATAATAGATAAGACAGCCATGACAATAATTATAATACAGGAGCGCCTGGGTGGCTCAGTTGCTAAGCGTCTGCCTTCGGGTCAGGTCATGATCCCAGAGTGCTGGGATCAAGCCCTGCATCGGGCTCCCTGCTCAGTGGTAAGTCTGCTTCTCTCTCTCCCACTCCCCCGCTTGTGATCCCTCCCTCGCTGTGTCTCTCTCTGTCAAATAAATAAATAAAACCTTTTTAAAATAATAATTATTATAATACAAGGCAAAATGCTTTGCTGCACAGAGAATATGAAATGGAGATTCAACACATATACACACACACAAATTTAAGAGGTTGAAGAACTAATTTCTTATTGAGACTTTAAGAGGAGATTTCGAAGAAGAAGAACATTTGAGCTTATTTTGAGGAATGGCTAGAATTTCAACAGGTAGAGATTAAGGATGCAGGACAAAGGAGGTTAAGGTGAAGGACATAATTCCCGACAGAAGTAAACAGCATTAGCCAAAATAGTGAATTGTTCAAGAAAGCTATAAAGTAGGGTGCATTTACGGGAGTCTTCGGAATTAGGGGACGGTAATGTCAAGAGGCCAAGAGAATGGAGTTGTTGATAAAGACAGAGAAAAAAGACAGATGTTTGGATTTGTTATTTAGAAATAATTTTAGAGGTAACTTTAGCCCAGTGATGGGTCAGAAGACAAATTACAAAGTGTTAAAAAATTACAAATTACAAAGGTTAAAAAGTGAGTGGTGAGAACAACAGACCGACCCTGAGACAAGCTAGCATCCCTGACAAACTATGTTAAAAAAGGAGAGAGAGAGAGAGACTTAAACATAACATTTGGATGCAAAGTGTGATCCTAGATTGGCTATAACTGTGGATCAATCAGCTACAGAAGATGTTTCGGGGCAGTGAGAAAAAAACTACATCTAGAAAAAACTAGGCAAAGACTGAGTATTCCTTAGGGTAAAATATTACTGCATAATGTGGAGACTAGCTGAAAAAAGGAAATCAGTTTATACAACAATATGCATGCCAGTTCATAGCAGCACTGTTCACAAGAGCTAAAAGATGAAAACAATTCAGATGTCCATCAAGAGATGAGTGGCGGGACGCCTGGGTGGCTCAGTTGGTTAAGCAGCTGCCTTCAGCTCAGGTCATGATCCCAGCGTCCTGGGATCGAGTCCCACATCGGGCTCCTTGCTCGGCGGGGAGCCTGCTTCTCCCCTGCCTCTGCCTGCCATTCTGTCTGTCTGTGCTCGCTCTCTCTCCCTCTCTCTCTGACAAATAAATAAAATCTTTAAAAAAAAAAAAAAGAGATGAGTGGGTAAGCAAAATGTGAGGTTTACATTAAATGGAATATTATTTAGCCTTAAAAAGAAAGAAATTCTGACATATGCTACAACATGGATGAGCCTTGAGAACATTTTGCCAAGGGAAATAAACCAGACACCAGAAGACAAATGCTGTACAATTTCATTTATATGAGATGTCTAGAGTAGTCAAATACAAATAGTAACAGAGAGTAGCCTGGTGGTTTGCCAGTGGCTGGGGGAAGAGGTAAGTGGGGAACCATTGTCTAATAGAATTAGAGTTTCAGTTTTACAAGGTGAAAAAATTGTGGAGGTTAATTGTATAGTAACGTGAATATACTTGATACTGCTGAACTTTATACTTAAAAAAATGATTAGAATGGTAAATTTTGTGTTATGTGTATTTTCCCATAATTAAAGAATTTTTAAATATGCACAGACTAATCAAGTTTTGTTAAATTTTAATTAAGAAAAATATGGATGCACATATACATATATGTATATATGCAAATATATGTGTATATATTCATGAATAACTTTTTTTTTAAGATTTTTTTTTTATTTGACAGAGATCTACAAGTAGGCAGAGAGGAAGGGAGAGAGAGAGGAGGAAGCAGGCTCCCCACTGAGCAGAGAGCCCGATGCAGAGCTCGATCCCAGGACCCTGGGATCACGACCTAAGCCGAAGGCAGAGGCTTTAACCCAATGAGCCACCCAGGCACCCCATGAATAACATTTTTAAAAGACAAGAAAGAAATGACGGGTATTGAGGGAATCGATGCTGAGAGGGTAAACAACTCTTGAGAAATTTGAAAGCAAGAGGAAAAGATGAGGTTATATCTAAAGACGTAACTGGGGGCGGCACCTGGGTGGCTCAGTTGGTGAAGCAGCTGCCTTCAGCTCAGGTCACGATTAGAGAGTCCTGGGATTGAGCCCCACATTGGCTCCCTGGTCAGCAGGGAGCCTGCTTCTCCCTCTTCTCCTTGCTCATGGTCTCTCTCTCTTTCAAATAAATAAATAATCTTTTTTTATTTTTTATTAAAAAGTAAAGATACAACTGAGTCTACATTACCTTTTTTGTGGTAGTGAGTCATTGAAAATCTGGTGGAGGGATTGGATGGCCCTTCTGCCCTCATAGAAATGGAAATATGCAACCTTAAAATCTTACATACTGTTTGAGGTGGTGATGGAGCTCCATAAAGCCTTTTTGTGGATCGAAAGCTGGGAACCTCTGGTCTAAAGTTATTGTTCATCCATTTAGCTTATTTGGTTTTTTTTTTTTGTGTCTTGTTTTGTTTTCTAAGATTATTTATTTATGTGACAGAGAGAGAGAGAGAGCATGCACAAGCAGGGGGAGTGGCAGGCAGAGGGAAAAGCACAATGTGGGGCTTGATCCCAGGACCCAAGGATCATGACCTGAGCTGAGGGAAGACACTTAACCGACTGAGCCACCCAGGAGCCCTGCTTGTTTTTAGTAGGGAACACTGGGTAAGGAAAGGAACGAGTGCAGAATGTCATATTGTAATTGCAAGAAAGAGGAGAAATGTACATTGACAGGGACTTCCAAATGAAATTATGATTTCGGTACACATTTAAATTGATATGGTAGATTTTAACGATCATAGAATGTTTTCATGTGGTCCAGGGTGAAGTTAAGGAATACAGACTAAAACAGGGGCCTCTGTAGTCTACAGCATTATGTGGGAGGGTTGTAATTCTAAGGATATGCTTTTTAAGAAAAAGATAGTTTTTAATATTATTGCTTATATTTTTAGAGAAGTTCAGCAATGGAGCCTTCCTCCGCTGATAACAATTCAACTGACCTACCCTCACAGCCCTGGTACGAACCCCAAGTCATTCTCTCCATGGGCATTCTCAGCCTCACTTTCTTACTGGGGTTGCCAGGCAACGGGCTGGTGCTGTGGGTGGCTGGCCTAAAGATGCAGCGGACAGTGAACACCGTTTGGTTTCTCCATCTCACGCTGGCCGACTTCCTCTGCTGCCTCTCGTTGCCCTTCTCCCTGGCTCACTTGGCGCTGCAAGGACACTGGCCCTATGGCTGGTTCCTGTGCAAGCTCATCCCCTCCATCATCATCCTCAACATGTTTGCCAGCGTCTTCCTGCTGACTGCCATTAGCCTGGATCGTTGTCTTTTGGTCCTCAGGCCAATCTGGTGCCAGAATCACCGCAAAGTGGGGACAGCCTTCGCTATCTGCGGATGTATATGGGTGGTGGCTTTTGTAATGTGTATGCCCGTGTTCATGTACCGGAAAACATTCGCTGTAGATGACCATTACATGTGTGGCTACAATTTTAGTCCCTACAGCTCCTTTGGTTATTCAGACTTCACCAGTGATCTACTGGAAAATGGGTCTCTTGACAACTCCACTGTGCACCTGCCTGGAGAGATGGGTGAGGGATTAGAGTCTTTCTCTTTACAAACAAATGATCTTCCTTGGACAGCCACCACTATCCTCTATTCTCAAACATTTCAAAGACCTTCTGGAGAGTCACTCCCTGTGGATTCAGCTAAATTATCTAGTCAATATCCATATTATAATTTTCTTGCTAGTAAGGTCTCATCTATAAGCCCCAGTGGGTTTCCTATTGAAGATCGCAGAACTAACCCACCAGATAACTCTGATAGTTTTCTCTCTACCGATTTAGAGCTTTACTCTGGTACTTCCAGCAACTCCTTATACACATATGAGCTATTCCAAAATCTCCAGGATCATGATCTAGGCCAGTTTTCATACAACAATCAAGTACTAACACCCCTGATGGCAATAACCATCACTAGACTAGTGATGGGTTTCCTTCTGCCCTTTATGGTCATGATGACCTGTTATGGCCTCATTATCTTCCGAATGCGACGCGGCCGCTTCACCAAGTCTCGGACCAAAACCTTGCGAGTGGCCGTGGCTGTGGTGGTTGTCTTCTGTGTCTGCTGGGCTCCATACCACATTATTGGAGTCCTATCATTGTTTTTTGACTCAGAAACTCCCTTTGGAAAAGCTCTGCTGTCTTGGGACTACGTGTCCGTTGCTCTAGCATCTGCCAATAGTTGCTTTAATCCCTTCCTCTATGCCCTCCTGGGAAAAGATTTCAGGAAGAAAGCCAAACAGTCCATGAAGGGCATTCTGGAGGCGGCTTTCATTGAAGACTTCACACACCCTACCAGCTGTCCCCAAAGCAAAGTCTTTTTGGAAAGAAACCGTATCAGTACACCTGTGTGAAGATACGGAGCTGTGGACCCAAGCCAAGGTTCTTAGGTATTCACCCAGTGTGACATGTTTCTGAAGCAACGAGTGGTATTGTGAGCAGGGGATTCCAGAAGCCATCCAAGAATCAGTCCATAGGTTCTCAAAGTATGGTCTGAGACTAGAAGCATCTGCAACACCTGGTAATTTGTCAGAATCACCTAGAAACTTGCTGAATCGGAATCTCCGGGGGTGAGGCCCAGCAAGTGTTTTAATGAACTCTCATGTTTCTGATGAATGCTAAATTTGAGAATCGTCCCCCAAATTAGTCTATTTCTATCCCAAACTAAGCCAGTGAGATCAGGGAGAACCCAGTCTGTTTTAAAATGATTTTTCCATCATGAACTTTTTTCTTTGGGAGTGTCCAAATCCCCTCCCAGATGCAATTTAAAACCATTTTGTCTAATCTCACATGAGTGAACAATGATCGTCTCTTTTTGGCTTTGTTGTGGGGGTGGTGATGTTTTCAAATGAAAACAAGGTGCAAAAAGACAATGTCCACGAAAACAAGCAGTTATGAGATGCAGTCTGGAGCACAGTACAATGTCAGATGTTTGCTATGTGCAATATTCCTGGATACGGGACATGGGAATTCCACGTTTCCATTATTACAACTGAATAGGCATCTACTATGTAAAGACAGGCTACTAAGGCATCTGAAAACGTACTCATAAAATGGCACGTAAGCTGTGGTTTGGGGAGTTTTCTATTTGTTTACTTAGTCTGCCTTTTGATAGAACCATCTCTCTTCCATTCCCTTTCTTAAGCTCCTTTATTCCCTTATTTCTCCCCTACCTCTAAATCTTCTTCTGTATTAGACTTTGTGCACCTAATAACCTCTAATTTCTTAAGATTCAAATTGCTCCCCTCCTCTTGCTTGAAACTAATGTTCCCTGAGAAACTCATTTCCAGTGAGAAGAGGAGGGTAGAGGATGGAGCAGTAACCCTTGAATTCACTGCACAGCGACTGAGTACCCTCCAGGAATACTGTCAAACTTTGTAAAGCACGGCTACGCTTGTGTATCATTCACCAAGTATATCTTTGGGTTTTTGAAATGAATTTTTATCTTTCCCAAAGTAATAGATGCACATAATTTAAAGAGAACCCAAGGCTTATAATGAAATATAAAGTTTCCTGCCCCTCTCTGCCCAACCAATCCCTCCTCCCACTCCCATCTCCCAGAAATAACACTTGCAACAATTTTAGACATTTCTTCTGATATTTACCATGACAATCATGTGCTTATGCAGCTAGTTTTCATATACACGATAACATCACTTCTTGTCTTGAAAGATTAATTTTATCCACATTCATATTTTTTACTTATCATCATCCTAATATTCATTAATCACCGTACTTCAGTTGGCTCCTGACCACACTTTCTTCTGTGGATCCATCCCAACCCCACATACAGCTTTCCTTCCATTCTTTCATTCAAAAAAAAAAAAAAAAAAAAAAAAAAAAAAAAGGTTATTTAACCCTATCACCTTCTCATTTGTCTGTGTATTTAAACTTCATTGTGTTAAACTTCTAAAATCTCAGGGTTTTTGTACTATAATATAGCCTCCCCTGGGTGGAATATAATTATTTAATCTAAAAAAAGGAGAAAATGAGATGTTTTAGACTTGCAAGGCACTATTATTTGTTCAGTGACTGGGGTGAGGACTACAAATAAGTAATAATGTGCTATGCAGAAAAATTGTAAATCACTGAGAAGTCGCTCAGGTGTGAGGTAACAATGTGTGCCATGATGTAAGATTTGCAATGCCGCCTTCCAATGTAATCTTCTTATGTATTTGATATGAATAAATGCTTGCTTTCTTGTGGTTCCTTGTGAGACTGGGATTCATGGATCCTCTTAACTGTTTGACACTCAGAATATGTCATAATCTCTAAACATACAGCAAATCATAGTAGGCAGCTGGAGGCTTGCTATAATGGCAATTAGCTAGGATCCTGGAAGTCCCAACACATCTTACAAGACCCGGATGTAAGTCCCAAACTTCTACATTTAGTGTACAGGATACTGGGGTGATGACATAGTTATAAGATTCCATAGTTGCTATTTCTGGATTCCCTTTGAGAGTTCCATCCCTGGGAAATGTATTCTGAAAACAAAATCTTACAATTGGAATTCCCTCATTTCTTATGAAAAACTCTGGTAAGTACCTGTGAGTATTTGCCAGAAAGTCCCAGATGGAGATCCAACTCCTCCCAAAATTGTAGTATCTCTGATCTTTGAAATATCCCAGAGCACAGGCAAGGTGGCCTAGTCCACACACCAAGCTATAAGGGGTGACTGCCTCTCCCAACAATATTTCACTATATTTAATAGCATTTGGGGGGAAAAAAAAAAAGCAATGTTAAATGCATGTTTTTTAATTCTTCTTTCCCAGCAATCTTACAAAACAATTCCAAGATCAACTGATTGGACCCAGAGGTGGGAGGCAGGGAAAGGGTGTAAGGCCAGCTGAAGACAAATGCTTCCCTCTTCCTGCCTTCCTACCCTGGTAAAAAGAAATCTGAGACCAGCACCAGTAAGATTAAACCATAAACATTCTTCCTTTTTTTTTTTTTTTATTAAGAAAGCATGCAAAACACAACAACTTGTGAGATCATACACCCCCTTGCCGGCCTGCACCAATGCAAAGCACTATGGGTGGTACGAAGGACTCACCAAACCAGAAACCTGGGGGTCGAAGAGAGGAAAGTGAGGATGAGTGGATCTATACCACGTGACTGCTTCATCTGTCCCTCTCCTCCCATTTCTCCCTTATCCCCTCCTGGAGGCAGGAGCGCTTGCACTTTTGCACACGTCACTCAATACGACAATGACTATACTTTGAGCCCAGCAATGCTGGACCAACAAGAAAAAGTAGTATTCTTTCCATTTCATGGAGGGGAGGGGAAACAGGCCCAAAGAGGGTAAGTTTTGTCCTGTGCCATCTAGCAAGGCTGAGTTCAATGGAAGGGAGCTAAAATCCCAGGAGGCCTGATGGCCAGTCTCCACCCCTAGCCCCAAACTTTAGTTACTCTGGCTGCCCACCAGAGTCTTCATGAGACGAATTTTCAGAAGACACAGATGAATTATAAACAAGGGACATTTACATGTACAATTTCGTCTACCCTCGTAAATCCTGTGTGGATCCGAGTAGAAAGGGGGTTTAGAAAAGAGAAATAATCATTTGTAAAGGGGGGAATCTTGGGGAGAACAGGAGAACAGATGGGAAGTTGTGTATATAGGAGGCACCTTGACTGGAAGGAATTCGGAAGAGATGCCTAGAACAAGGACACAAGGCAAAGGCATTTTGCCACCCTCTAAGAGAAATTCTCCTTTCCCCAACGGGAAATATTATGTCATACTTCAACCCCACTGACTGCCCAACAATGGGGGATTCAAGCCACTCATATCCCCATTTCTTACAAAGAACCTCACAGAAAATAAAGTGCTCTTTAGTTAACCGCCCTTTCTTGCCCCTTTGCTTCAGCCTTCTTCAACAAACTCTCATATATAACCCCCTTACAAAGAAAGAAAGGGGTGGGTGAGGGAAAAGCAGAAGAGTAGAAAGCTAGATCTCCTGGAAGTCATGGGTAAATAAAAGAATATGAACAAGAAGCAGAAATCACAGAGAGAGTGGCCTTGTCCGTTCCTTACATTTGTCCTGCAGCTTTCGGAAAGTGAACATTCAGTGAAATAAAAACAGAAGTAAAATTGCTCTTCCCTCTCGTAACTAGTATTCAACAATTAATGTGAAACATACACTAAGTACTTTGCAGCAGTAACTCATGGCCATTTCTCATTAAAGGACAGAAGTTGTCCCTGTACCTTTTTACTTTTTCTGGGGTGTCTCCCTTGGCCCTCACAAACTCTCCTCTCTAGATTATTTAATCCCCTCTACCAATTTCCTTCACCCCTTGAAAGTCAAATGGCAAAAGTTTCAGCCCCAGTGATTTGGATTCCAAGAGAAGCATTTGCTGACACAATTAAATAATTGAATTCCCTACCTATGTGTATGCCAGCTCCTTTTCCCTTTCCCCACGCCCCTACCACCAATGCTGTAGGTTTGGTTCTGCTATGATCAGTGGAAAAGAGGTTCCCATCTTGTCCTAGGACATGATGAAACTGAAAGAGTGATAATGGCTTACTTTTCCTTCTTGAGAGTTCCAGAAAATGGGGGGAAGAAGATAAAAGGGGAGGAAGAGTTGAGCCAGCAACTGAAGGAAGACAAAATAGTATTTGCTGAATGGGGAAGGGGGACTGAAGGATAATTTGTAAATGCAAATATGAGCCACAGTTAATTTCCAGAGAAAACTATGTTTAAAAACTCAAAAGGGTTAAATTGAAACCGTCTCCTAAAAGCTGAACCTACGCTGAACAGGTATCCTCATCCCTACCACAGAAGCAAGACCAACTCTATCTCCAATAGACTAAGGACTGGGAACAAGTCCATGGAAGTTTCCAGTAGCATATAGAAACTGACTGTTTTACATTCCATCACCCCTCTACACTGCTTGACTCCACCCAACCCAGAAGTCTTATTCTTCTAGGATTTAATGGTCACCCTTCTGCACCACCACCATCACTCTTACCCTAGATGGGAAGTGAGGATCGGGAGAAGTAAGGATCGAAGATAAAAGGGACAAGGAAGAACTCAGAGGACAAAATTAGCACCATTGAGTAAAACCTGCAAATTCATGGCTGCCCAGCGGTGTTTTAGATCCCTTTTTACTTGAGAATGTGGCTTCTCTAGTACTGGACTGAACTGACAGGAACAGAAAACAATTTAGGGTTGGAAGGTAAGATTAGCATTGAGTTTCTCAAAGAGAAAGGCAAATCAAAATTTGAAACCTTTCTCTGTAGCCATCAAGGCCTCACCTTCCGGCCAGATGGTTTTAAATTAGCAAGGGGTGGATACGGTCTGTGGAGGAGGGCAGAAGACTGGGGACAGCATATAACCAATAATAATAATAACAATAATAATAATAATACCATAATAAGAATAATAATAAAAGAATTCGGAAAAAAACAAGAGGGAAAAGGAAGAAGGAGGCAGGAAAGGGGGGGGGTTATCTTCGGCAGCATCTTGTGGTGGCTTTTCTGACAGAGCAAGAAAAAAGAGAATATATAAGTATATACAGCAAGGAGGAAGGGATGGGCTGGGGCTGCTCCTGCCCCACTCCCAGACTTTTCGCCACCCAGCCTTGGGCTCATGGCCACGCTCCATGAGGCCCTAAGTGATCAAGTCCCAGTCGAAGTCATCAGGGATCTCCTCGTTGGTACCCGGAGGGGGGACCGGTGGCCGAGGGACCATATGGTGTGCTGTCAGGAAGAGACAAAGAAATTAAAAGGAGAGTGGATGGGAAGTTATTCTACCATCTAGATAGGCAGTGCTCAGCCCTGAATATGACCACGAGGAAGGGCTGGTGAAACTATGCTCCTTATCAGCCCAGAGTTGTTTCCGTTGCTAGTGCCACTCCGGTGGGTCTCAGGAAATAAACCAGAGTAAACAGAGGGCACATGGCAATTTAACACTATGCAGCCCCCAAGAATTATACTTATGAAAACCATGTAGTAATGAAAAAAACATACACAATGTACTATTATATGAAATCACAGTATAGAAATTTGTAGATGTGTTAGATGGATAAGGAAGATATGTACAAAGAGTCTGATGTCACCCAAAAAATTCGAAACCCTTGTAGTTAGGCAGGATAATAACAGCGATTTTTCTGAAATGTATTTAAAAGCAAACGATCTGTTCATTTTATATTATTTATGGCAAGTTAGGGTCTACCTCCACCCCCATCAGAGGTAGTTCAATCCCAGACCCCTGATACAGAAGTCAGGTGACCGGAAAACAGACATGGGCACAGAGCAGGTATGTCTGTATAACGTGCTCATTGTATCTGCCTAACCATACCTTCCATCTAGATTCCAAAGCTGGACATAAATGTTCAATATCTTTGGTCTATTTGCATGCTTTTACTGTCTTTTTTTTTTTTAAGATTTTATTTATCCATTTGGGTGGGGGGAGAAAGAGCATGAGCAGGGGGAGAGGCAGACAAGAGGGAGAAGCAGACTCCCAGCTGAGTGCAGAGCCCGATGTAGGGCTTGACCCCAGGACCCCAAGATCATGACTTGAGCCAAAGTCAGACATTCAACTGACTAAGCCACCCAGGCACCCCTGTTTTTACTCCCTTTTATTATTGCAGGCACAAGTTATGCTCAAAGTAAATCAGTCTCCTTTAGTCTCCCATGACATATACCTCCCTAGCAAGGGGCCCACCCTCGAGCTTTAGGAATCATGAAGGCTCACACACTCCCAGCAGGGGTGAACAAGAGGGAAGAGAATGCAGGCTCAGAGCCAGAGGAAAGCAAAC